TGGCCTGCCAGGATAATTGAGTGGCTGGTTAAATCTCTCAGTGTTATTAACCAATAAAGGGGCCCCAGTGTAAATAAATCCAGACTGAATGTGACAGGGCTAGGGAAGTGCAGGGAAAGCAGTACTTCCTCTCCTGCATGTGACATGAGGGGCAGCTGCCATTGGAATGCAGTCTGTGCTTTGAGTTCAAACTTTCGGTTCTTCCAGCCATGCTGTCCCATGTTTAGGTGCCATCTAAAGGTCTGATCTGGCTGTGTGCACAACTGCAAAGCTGTGAGCAGTCAGTTGCAGGTTCTGAACTCCACTGCTTAGTTCAGAGCCTCCAACACCAAAAGCTGCTGCTGCTGTGAGTGGGGCATCACTCCCTTTCTCAGATAAAAGAGCTTTCCTGGAGCTGGAATGCTGTTTCCATAGATCTTGTGTGAGACATGAACAAATACTGCTAACATAACCTAAAGCACTGCTGTAAACTTACGGATGTTGTCAGGGCTCCAAATAACTTTAGCCAGTCAGCCTCTCCAGGAAGGCTCTGTGACATGGCTGCATTCAGCACGCACTTAGCCTGGTGCTGTGCCATTGAGATCTGAGTTTTGCCCTTACCGATAGTTGGGCCGGAATCAAAATTAGATACAGGTATCTGCAATGAGTAAGATTAAAAGGTGTAATTTTTATTTTCCACTAAATACAGCCTGCAGCTTGTCTTCTGTTCCATTAACGCTAAGCTAATATTTGCTTTTACTATGTAGATATTAGTGGAACTATGTGTTTTCCTTCCACCAAGGTATTCTCAGCCAAGGACTGCGTATTCAGTTCTTTTGCTCCTTCCTGCTGGATCTGGCAAAAATGCCAGCATTCAGGCTGGTTTTGGCTCTGCCCGGACGCTTCTGGTTAGGTTTGATTATTAGGAAGTTTGTGGAAAGCGTATGTGTGTGTTACTGCTTAAATACATCAAAATTTTAATTCAATTTTTAATCTTCAAAAATAGCATCTGCTTTTCATCCAGATGTGCTCTGAAGCTAAGCCATACTTTATCACTCCTCTCGTGCTAGGCTGTCCATCTTTCTTGGCCAAGAAATAAAATAATTTTCAAGATGTGATGCTGCCATTTTTGCAATGCAGATTTATTACCCAGAGCAGCACTGCCTGTGTCCACCTATGGCTGCACCACAGCTCATCTTAAAGCTCATCTTAAGGTTGAAGCTTCCATTTCACATGACAAGGAGATGTGTAGCCAATTAACAGTCTCAGCCCCTGTGCAGCCACATCTTGCTCATGTGCTCAAGCCTCACAGTTTGGCATTTCCCTTCTTCCAGAAGCACTGGTATGTTTGGCTGAGACCTTATTGCCTCTGTGAGGCAACAACCATACACAGAAAGATTACAAAGGAGTGCCATGGAGATTCCCTCTGTGTACTGCCGAACTTTGATGTCAAAAGAGATATGTGCTGATAGAAATAACCTGCTCTGTATGATTGTATCCAGCCAAGGATTCCCCCCACACCTTTCACTGTTGAGCATACAGTTAATTTACCCACAGGCTGGACAGAGAACAATTTAAGCCTGGAGGAAAGTCTCTCTTCTGTTTTCCTTCAAAATCTTTTTGCTGGGTTTTCTTGTTCACACATAATGCCCCCATGATCCTGTAGCTTTAACCAATTCCACAGCACCGAGCCGGGGGCAGAGATAGCTACAGTGTACCTCTGCAGCCCTGAGGTAAGGACGGCACTCCTGCATTCCTGTAGACAGATATATTTATGACTGCTGATTACAACACGCTATTGGAAAAGAGTATCATTGGAACCACCAGGATATCAGCTGCCTCATTGCTTGTCTTCACATGTGAATTACAGAAAAGGATAAAGTTGCATCAACTTGCAAAAGAATTTTGAGAAAATATTGTGAGGGTTCCCACAGCTGGGTGTATGCTTGTGTTTTTCTCCACCCATCGTAAATCACAGCAGTAGGCCTTACCTCAGCTATCCATTAGTAAATTGTGCTGTGTGTTTTGCCTCCATCTGAGGAAGTAGCTGGATACCTGTTAGTGATAGCATTCATACCATTAGCAAATGGGAGACTACAAGAGGAAAGCAGAATTTACATGCGTTGGATGCTGGCCTAAATACACTCTCACTCAATTCTGGACATCAGGAAGGAATTGATAGAGCATAAGTATTTAATCAGCAAACCACAGAAAAAAAATATTGTGAGGAATTCTATGAATTAATAAGTCTTTCAGCCCTCTTTGTTCCAACATCAACAAGCATTTTGCTAATAACGTGTGCCTGCAGGATGCACTCCAAACCGAATTTGCTGTCAAGTAGCATTGTACCTCACTAGCTGCCAACTGGAAATCTAAAATCTCTGCAAAATTTGTTGAAATATTTTCATTAGTCTATTTCTGGAAGACAAGCTGGAGTGCCCTTTAAGCACTACAAAAGTTAAGTGGTCAATACCAAGGTCATGCTGGGCACCAGGTGTGCACACAGCATCCAGCACCACCTGGTCCTGATCCTTGTAGAGACCTCTGAGTACCTTCAGTATTTTTGTGCTGCTTTGAAGCACCGCTTATCCACCAGAATGCTGCCCAGTGAACCTTCAGGCATGCTTATAAACAAAAGCACTTTGCTTAGAATGATAATAAATGTCGGTGGAGAGAGTTTACTGCCTGGCCACGTGTGCCAAAGGCAACGTTAGAATGCAGGTTTCATAAAACCTATTTAGATTACACATTTCTTTTTGCAGCCCTCAGCACACGCAGGAACAAACAAGTACATGCAGTACACAACAAAGAACATTCACCACTGCGACATTTCAGCCTCTGGTTGAGCAGCATTCATATCAGCCTCCTCTGTGCCGTGCACAGGAGCTGCATGTCTGCTGTGATGGCACCATGGAGGCAGCAGCTGAGGGCATCGGTGGTCCCAGTACAGCTGTGCAGCACTGAGCATCTGGCCCTGGGGCCATGGCTGCTGCCCAGAGAAGGAGGATATGAGATTTTGCCAACTTGAAACGTTTCAACATGCATTCTTCACTTCCTGCCTTAAATTTTTGCAAGCGTTATGTTCTGTGTTAACAGCAGTGGCTCTTACACAGCCGGCAAATTCCTGTGCCTGTCACTTGTTGATTAGCTTGATTTTGATTTCGTAAGTTTTGTGATGCTTTCCATTTTACTGTGTTTACTTTTAAAATAACTCCTTGTGATCACTGACAAAAGCCTGAAGTTGTGGAGAGCGCGGGCCTCGGAGTGAGAAAGCACACAAGCAGCTGAAGCACACTAGTTTTAAAAGGTAACCTTTTTTTAATTGTGAGGCTTGGCAGCACTGAAATCACACACAAACCCCAGCCTTGTGATGGTTCAAAGGTCCCAACAGACACTGCCGAATGCACAAACTGTCCTCCTCACGTGGACAAATCCCTCTAAACTCGTGCTCACACTGCTGGAGTTGGAGGTGCAAATAACCTCAGATCAACCACTGCAATGCCTGTATCTGGGTCTGGGGCACACTGCCGTTCTTCCATCAATGTTTTAAGCACCGTGAGCTTTGCAGCACGAGGGGCAGCAGCCCACAGTCCACACGCTGTTCCAACCGCTGCTTCAGAGCAAGGCCTGGGGTAGAGGCACTGCCTGTTCCCAACTTCTTCCCCAAGCAGTGACAACCACAGTTTTTGGGTGTCACGATAGGGAGCACCCTCAGCACCGCACGTCAGCTTTGTCTTGTTTGAGAGCCTTGTTTGTTTGCACAGCCACGTTACAACAACAGGAAGAGCTGATGGCATCTGGGTGCATCCTACCAGCACCAACCAGTGGCACACCAGTGAGCAAAAAGCAAAATGCACAACAGGTCGTGAGATGTGTGCTGGAATATTTTGTTCTTGTGTAGGCGCTTTGATAAGGATGCAGACAGGAACACGGTGTGTGTAAGGGATATAGAAAGAAGCCCTGGGTGCGGGGACCGAGGGCCGTCCTGCCGCCCTCAGAGGACGACAGAGAGCAGCAGAGGTGAGTGAGCCCACTGTGTGAGGCCAGGGGCAGGGGGAGGAGGAGCACCCAGGGGTGCTGGCAGGCCTGCGGCCCAGCAGGTGCTTTTTGGGCTAAACGTTGAGAAATTCGCCATTTGTTTGGTCATTTCTGAAAGACTTTGGAGGTCTCAGGGTTGTGGACAACGGGCAGGCTGCACTGGAAGAAGCCCCCCGCAGCGCCAGCAGCACCGCGCCGAGCGGGGGTGCCGTGACTCAGTGCCGGCGGCGACGGCGCCTTTAAATGGTCGGGCTGTGGCCCCCGGAGCTTCAGTTGGCCGCCGTGCCGTGCCGTGCCGTGCCGTGCCGTGCCGTGCCGTGCCGTGCCGTGCCGTGCCGTGCCGTGCCGTGCCGTGCCGTGCCGTGCCGTGCCGTGCCTCGCCTCCCCACTGTCGCGCACCGCGCCTGCGCGGCCACCGTCGGTGCCGGCTGTTTTCCCGTTGGCGCCGTACTCCGCGCAGCTTTGTCCGATCGCGGGCGGTGGGGAGGCCCGGAGGGGTGGCGGGGTGACCCCGAGCCGCCGGATACGAGAGGACGGTGGGCGCAGGCGGTCCTTAAGGTGGATCGGCGCTTAAGGTGGACTCGGAGTTAAGGTGGATCGCGTTTAAGGTGGACTCGCAGCCAAGCCGCGCCTGCGGGGCGGGCAGGGCCGGGCTTCGGCATGGGGAGAGGCTCCTGAAGCGGCCGCCGGAGGAGCAGCGCCGGCCGTCCTGAGGAGGAGATGGGGGAGGCCCGCTGCTGAGAGCCAACTTCTCCCGGCCGCCAACGATGAGCAGCGCGCAGCCCCGCAGGCAGAGGCGGCCCATGGACGGAGGCGAGGCGGGGGAGCGGAGCCAGATGCCGAGCTGCCGAGGGGCTGACAGGAGAGCGGCTTTCCCCCTCCAGCGAGTCTCCAGCTCCTGACTGCTCACCGGGAGGAGGAGGAGGGGGGGGGGAGGCCGTTCCGCCGTCTTTTGATTGGGAGAGATTTAATTTTCTTTCGAGGGAGCTCTTCCATCACCGCCAGCAGCCCTCAGCGCCGCTTCCCGGCCCCGAAGTTGTCCCGGCCGCGGTTCCGCCGCCCGCAGCGCCATGGAGACGGTGGGGAAGTTTGAGTTCAGCAGGAAGGACCTGATCGGACACGGAGCCTTCGCTGTCGTCTTCAAAGGCAGGCACAAAGAGGTGAGCGGCCCTTCGGACGATTTTTACCGTGTTTTTTTTTTTTTCTCGCCTGGTTCGTGCCGGGCTGGGGGCAGCGCTCCAGGTGGCGGCGAGGCCCGCTTTGTCCTCGCCTCCTTCTCGGCGCGGTTCTGCCTCTCGCCGTGCTCCACCGGGAGGGGAAGCGGCTCGATGGACAGCGCAGGGAAAGCCAGCTTGCTGCGGGCCTGCCGGTGTTAGGTCTTGGCATAAGCCGTGGTTCCCACAGCGTTTATTTCTAGAGGTTAAATAAGGGGATAATCGTCAACAAAACCCCAAACCTCGGGCTTTTCTCCTTGTGCTGGCACAGCTTGGGACGAGGCAAGTCTGAACATGCATTGGGGCACAGAGCACGGGCCTTTTCTGGTGCTGCAGGACGCCTTCCAGCAGTGCCAGCACCCTGGTGGAGGCTGCTCACCTGGCCTGTGCTAATGGGGAAATGCTCTTGAATTACACGTGCACTTTTCTGCTTTCAGAAACCTGAGCTGGAAGTAGCTGTGAAATGCATTAACAAGAAGAACCTTGCAAAATCACAGACTCTGCTGGGCAAGGAAATTAAAATACTTAAGGTAAAGGCCGACAGAGGTCTTTTTCCTTTTTCAGTCTTTGTTACCTATGCCCTTTGTTGCTCTGAGCTTATTGTCTTTGTTTAATTTTTTCTAGGAACTGAAACATGAGAACATCGTTGCCTTGTATGACTTCCAGGTAAGTACATTCAATTATGGCAAAGCATTCTAGATATGGGTGAGGTTGAGTGGAGTTTTTGGCATTTTGTTTTTTTCAACAGATGTTTGTAATCAAATGTATGTGTTCTGGGGAAAAGGCCTTCTCTCAAGATAGTGGAAGCTCTGTTTTCTCTGTTCTCCTTGGACAATGTGACAGATTGTGTACGGACTGTGCTCTGGAGGCTAGAACTTCTGCAGCTGGGAGTTGGGGTGGGGACTCCGGTTCTCAGGATGCTTATGCAGCAAAGTGCAATGTGCTGGAAGCTCTTAAGTTCTTAAAACGTTAGAAACAAAACTTGCAGGAGTTGCTCTGGGCACTCCTGCCTCTTGTTTTTCTTTCTCTGGTCTGAAAGTTTCATTTTTCCCGGACAGTATAGAAATAGTGTGAGCATGACTTTGTAGCATATGATTGCCTCCGTTCCTGAGGATTTCCATCAGCGTTTTTCTGCTGTCCTTGTGGCAATCAGTAAGTGTTTAAAAATTGCAGCAGGCATTTTTAGATGACTGTGGTTTCCCACAGCTGATTTTTCCCTCAAAACCAGCTCTATCTAAAGGGCTCTGAAACATGACTGCTCCAATGACTTTTCTTTCCCCAGAGCATTTTGTTAACCTCGTGGCCTAGCAGGGTTCTATTTCTCTGGCATTAGCGATGCTTTCTGTGAGGAAAAACCCTGCAGGATCAGAGCGTGAAACGGAAACCCTCAGTTTGTGGGCAGATAGGACGGAAGGCGGCCTGGGGGACGCGGCCCCAGTACAGCGCCCGGCGCCGGGGGTCCCGGCCCGGTGTCACGAGGCCGGTGTTTGTTGACATTCCTCCTCCTCCGCCGATTGGCTGCGGCGGTTCTGCGTCAGGCGCGGCGCGACGGCTGATTGGTTGGCCCGGCCGCAATGCCTGCTGGGTGTTGTAGTCTCCTTCACCTCCAGGCCCTGAGGCCTGAGGGCCGCACCGCCCCGCGCCCCTCGGCCGGGCGGGTTCCTGGAAAACGAAGAGTGTGACGGTGCTGAGAGCGGGTGGACGGGGCGGGGGGGGGATTGGGGTGATCCAACAGGGAGGACTGGACGCTGGGAACAGGATCGATTCTTGGAAATGCCCTCTGGGTGATGAGAGGCCACCTGTTCGCTACCCGCCCCCAGGCTGAGGTGAGGAGCTGGGGCGGCCCTGAGCGGAGCTCCTCGTTACGGGCTGGGCTGTTAGCAGCCAGCACCGGGCACACTGCTCTGCGGCCTGGCTGGCTTGGTTAGTCGGGTAGAATGAGGTGATGTAGGTTGTGTTGGGGGGATGTGGCACTCCAGGCTGTGAGATCCCCTCTGCTGCCTGTTGGCCTGTGACCAGACCCAGCCTGCCACAGAGTCGTGTGAGAGAAAATTACCTGTAGAGGTAATAGTGCAGTGCTGCGGAGGGCTGGCTTCTGCCCGCCTTGCCCTTCCTCTGTGGGAAAGACCATTGCTTATTCATCTTCATTCATAGCTGCTTCATTCATAGATGCATGCATGTTTACCCTTGCAGATGTCACTGTGGCAGTTGTCAGCCCTTCCCGGTAGATTTTTCTGAAGCTGTGGGGGTTTATTCTTCTATTACGACATCAAAGAGCAAAAAGGAAAAAATAGCTTCTGCGAATCTTACTGTTGCCCTGTAGCTTTGTCTGTCACTGTGTTTTGTCTTCCTTTTCTCTGCACATCCTCTCAGCAGTGACTTGAACATTTTGTCACATCTTTCTTGCATACAAGGAAATGGTTGCCTAACCCACAGTGGCTGTAAGTCACTGATTACACCCAGTGATGCTTTCGTTTACGTTTTCCTAGTTACGAGTTAACACTAAGCAGGCCTCATATAAATCAAGATTTTTGATATAATGCCAGATTTGCCTCAGACAAGCACTTGTAGAGCTGGTATTTAATACCAACAGCAGCTCACACCATTGCACACATTTAAATTTATTCTTCAATTTATAAAAAAATTGCCATGTTCCTCCTTGGCTCATAAATACTGACAAAGACCTATGACACAATATCACAAAATAAGGCACGTACAGGGGATAAATTAGTACTGATGAATGGTTCATGCACAGCAGTGCAGTGTCTGGACTTTTATAAATCCACTTGCTGGAGTCCTAAGAGCAGCACCATTATGTGAGAGCGGCTCACAAAATGAAATATGCATATTTCCATTATTATGTGCTCATATATTAATGAGAGGTGCTGTGAGTAGTTGAGGAGCCTAAAGAGAGAACCCCTGCTCAAGAAAAAGATAAACCATATTTTGTTGCACTTCTGAAAGCACTCAGTTTAGTGTCTGTACAGAGTTGTGCAGCAGTTCTTTCCTAGGCACAGGAGATGTTTGGCATAAAGGGAAAACCAGATTCTTTTCCGTTCAGGGTGTGTTAGTAGCTACTGAATAGCTGCTCACTCCTCAACTGGCTTGCAGAGGTTGGGATTTTCCAGACTGCTGCAGTTGAGAGGCGTGCAGTAATGCAGACATCAGGAAAGCAGGAGTCTTATTACTCTTTGAAGAGAGCCAGTGAATCCTTGTTCATTAAGGTGGAAATCAATGACAGCAAGGATGCAGTTATTTCCACTGTACAGGATCTTGGTTTGGAACGGGTTTCTTGCAGCGTGAACTTTAAAAGCAGTGAGGATCAGCTCAACCTTTTGTGCATGCCGACAGCGAAAGCTTGGCAGCGTGTCGTCTGCTTTATGAGTCTCACTTTTGTGTGTGGTTTTTTTTTTTTTTTAACACTGGATGTTGAATCTGAGTTTGGTTGTAAATTACTTGAGTAGTTAATAGGGTTGAATGACACTAAGGTAACTTTTGAACTTGTTGGATCCTGAAAGGACTGTGAGCTGGACTGCTTCCTCTAGCACTGTTTTCTTCCCTGTGCCCCTCTTGTACCAGGAGGCTTGGTTGAATAGGTGCCAGCTGAATACATAATGTGACTGTTGCAAAGCAGCCATAGCCCAGCTGCCCAGGGCATGCAGGAAATTTGCTGTTCCTGGATATAAATCATCCTTTGGATGTTAGAAAGCATTTTCCTATGTGAAATGGGAAGAAGGACCACTTTTCCTAGGTGTGTGTTCTGATCTGAGCTTCCTATGGCAGCTAAGCTATGGCTGATTTTGTGGCAGTATGTACATATGTGTGTGTGTATATGTGTATATATATATATATATATATATATATATATATATTATTTGTGAATCTGGTTGTAGAAAAATAGCTGTTAATATCACACAGTTTCTAATTCAGCCTTGGTTACCTGAGGGTCTGCTTTCCATAATTTTATCGAGTTGGTACACTCATCATCTAGGGATGAGCTCAGAGAAATGCTGAAATCACTCGTGCAGTAAAGACTCACCAAAAATATTTCTGCTGGGGTGACTGTATCACCTGGAGCACCTGCTGAGGAGTCAAGGACCAGGGAATTCTTGCAGTGCAGTTTTTCTTGTGCACGTGGATTCGGGCATGGGGTGGCAGAACAAGCATTCCTTGACTGAATGACTAGTTCACCTGGGCTGCTCTTTGGGGCCAAGCTCTACAAAGCTTATTTCATTGTAGCTTTCTATAAAATCCCTATAATCAATAGGATCCTGGCCTTTGGGACAGTGATATTATGCTCTCTGCTTCATCATCCTTTCCTGATGCTGCCTCTAGCTGCCAGTCCACCTCCTGTGTCCCCTGGCACTGCTTATTGAGCAGCAGTGTCCTTCGGTGTGCCCTCCAGCACTGCTCGCTCCTGCTGCAGTGCTTTGCTGATCTGCGTGCTGCCAGGTGAATCAGTGGTGCTGCAGTGACACCTTCCCCACCACCACTTGTGCCACCTCACGTGGGATCTGCTGTTCCTTGGGCATTACTCTTTGGGTGCCATGTCTCAGGAGACAAGGCTCTGCTGTGACACTGGGGATGACTAAGAAGGCACTCTTTGTCAGGCAGATCACACTCCTGAGGTCAGGCAGGCTGCCTGGATAAATCCTGCTTGAATTCCATCCCTGAGCGAGGCTGGCACGTTGCCTTGTGAGTGGGTGTGCAGCACAGGCTCTCCCGCATGCTGCCGAGCAATCCTCCTTCTGTTTGTGCTGTGGCTGAGGGTGGTGTGTCTGCTGTCCTGCTCTGTCAGCATCCCTGCATCTGCTGGAGGGTGTCACTCTTACTGAAGATTGAGTCTGCCTTAATTTAGAGCTAGAAGGGGGGAAAGGATGGAAAATCCATCTGCCCTCTGCCAGTAGTTCTGTAAGATGGCTGAGAGTTTAGTGAATCAAAACGCCTATGTTTATGGCAAGTAGAGTGTTTTACATCTTGATCTTTGTTTTATGTTACTCTAGCTGAGTACTCCACTGTGCAGGTGACAGAAACATCTAGCAAATGCTGACCACTAAATATAGACCTTAGAGGAGTCATTGAACTTTTTTTAGAGGGAGTGGCTTTGCTGCATTTCTGAAGTGATGATCCCCGTTTTACTCATCCTGTATGTAAAGCACATACCTGTGTTCCTCTCACATGATCAGGATGTCATGGGAGAGCCAGCAACCTGAAAGGTTAATAGCCTTTAGAGCTCCCGTGGAAGGCAGCATTACTCAGACTATGGTGAAGGATTAAGGAATGTTTCCCAGGAGTAATTGGAAACTGGTAGGCTGCTGTGTTCGCAGTTTGACAGCAAGGCTCTGGTAGCAGCTGAGGTGCTATTCATGCAGCTCTTCCTTAAGCTTCATCAGTGTTTCCTTTAGGAAAATTTCCTCTGGGCAAGTCCTTGTGATGGCTGAACACGTTGGGTTGGAATGGATGAAGCAAGGTGGTGGAAATTTGGAAGATGGATGGGAAGAAGTGCCTCCTAAGCATGTGGGCAGGAAGAATGCCCTGAGTGATGGCTGAGCAGGACTGAACTCAGTCTATCTGCCAACAGATAACTTCAGAGCTTCTTTTGTGCTGAGCACATGGCAGAGAGGTGCTTTAATGGTGTGAATGTGTCCTGCTTTATGGTGTGCAGG